GTCCGTTGAGAGCATTTCTGTGTGTATGCGTTTAATGGAACCGAACGAATATTTATCAAGGCGATATCGACAGATAATTTAAAACGACAACGTAGATCATTGAGTCATAAATGTGAAAATCGAATCAGTGATTTAGATCACGAGATCCCTTGAACGCGATGGTATTACAATAATGACATAACAATAAACCAGCCAATGTTTAACAAACAATAACAAATAAACAATAACAAATAAACAATAATAGTGGAGTACGTGGTCGTGTCTAATTATTAGGTATTTAAAACAAAGTAACCGCGATTCAAGCCTACTTTGCAAACATAACAAGCATTTTTTTGTCCATATAATAGATATAGCTCACTTTGACTTGCAACACTCTGTTTCCACATAATACGCAAACTCTATTTCCACATAATAAGCAAACCTTGCTTTTTTTAATAATCAAAACTTGAACAAATATTATGGTTACCACATCCAAGGAAGGTAGCAGCAGTCCAGTTAAAGCTCATCGCTGAATTTTTTGGGCTTGGTCACATGACTTGCTATAAAATAGAAGGATGGCTTCGCGGATGGAATGCGGGTGTAGAGGCATTTCATTATTCTCTGCTCCGGTGGGAGATGCCTTTAAAAGGGTCAAGGAAGCATTGGGCCGGCTGATCTATTATGACACGACAGGCAGGGTGTCTAGAAAAAGGCGTCTAGAACTTGGTTTCCCTCCGGCCCCATGGGTAAATACATGCAAATGTTCCGATCTAAGGTAACTAGCTTACTAGCTTACTTAATGGTTTAGTTCGAGAGAAGTTCCGTTATTGTTTGTGAGGTTGAACTGTCGGTTGGGTAATTTCGTCGTAGGCTGAGTCCTTTATACAAGCGGGCGTGCTTCAGGAGTTATTCTCGTTATCATAACAAAAGGATCAAAATAGGTCTTCTACTAAGGCTTATTTAGAGTAGAGTTATTCTATTAACTCTTGGCAAAGCATTGGTTCGTAGGTACCGACGGAATTATCAAATTTGAAAATAAAGCAGCTCAGCTAACTCAACCTTAAGGGGACTTTCTTCTAGAGATTAACTATTAACTTGCTCTTTTGTCTTATTTTAGATAAACAAGAAAGGTTGTGATGCAAATCATCAAATCCAAATTCACATGCCATGCAAATGTTCCGATTTAAGAGGTAACTAGGCTTACTTAATTATTGTGATCGAGAAAAAGGTAATCTCATCAACTTTAATTAACTAACTTGTGATTTTAGATAGATGAGTGGTATCGCTACAATACATGCAATTCACTGAGTTCAACTCGAAATTAAAGCTCAGCTACTAAGCCAAGCAACTCAAATGTAAACTCGAATCAAAGTTCAAAGCAGCTCATGCTTCGGGAGTTATCTTCGTCGTCCGTAGGGAAGGTGATATAATTCTCGGCAAATTTATGGTCGTAGGTACCGGCGGAATTATCAAACTCGAAATCAAAGAGCCGTCCATAACTCGAACTCGAAACCAAAGCAGCTCGATTAGGTGGGAGGTGACACGGGAGGATGAATGGAAGATGGTGTAGATGGAGTAGTAGTAGTAATAGTGTGGTTAGTACATGTAGTTTAGTGCGTTGTAACTATTATGTATCAACTAGTATTCTAGTCGTTTTTGTTTTTTTGTCGCTCTGGGGAGCCAATAAAGTGACGAACTGATTGGTCGCCGCGAAAAAGAGCGTGGGGAGCCAGTAAAGTGAGCGAGGAACTGGTTTTTGTCGCCGAGCAAAAGTGAAACATTCCTTTTCAAAGCTTCGGTCCAATTTGGAATAAAAAGCGTGAGACATAGAAGTTAACGCACCGTTGTGTACAGCCGTGCTTTTCCGCTCGAATAACAGATATTTTGCATAAACCGCTCCAATCACATGGTCTACCATCGGAATCAACACAAACACACCCGGCCACAAAAATTGCTTTGCCATAGGCAAAATGAACAGCCCATGCTTTTCCTGTCCATCACAGAAACCCGCCGACGCCAGAAGACTGATGAATGCATCCATCCATAAAAGCCGTCATAGCTTCCCTGACCCCTTGAGCAGAAGATACCCCCGCCGCTGAAACAAAGGGCAATGAACGCTCCTCCCATGGAAGCCGACTGTGATCAATCAATTCTTTCAATAAAGAGTTGCGCAATAAACCTCCCGTGTCCCTGCTGCCTTCCTTGGATGTTTCTCCGGAAATACACTATCAAATTAAACGATAACTGATTTAACGAGCCATTGAGACAAGCACCCATATACTCATTAAATGCAAACTTTACTTCAAAATTTATATTACTTTTAGATTTTATGTTTATAAGAATAATATATACATCATCCTCATTTCTATGAAAAACAATTCAAATGAACACAAATTTCATTGGATACTACATGTATCACGCTGTATATATGCACTATAATAACGCCTAAAACTTATTACCTTCACGATAAAAAAAAAACTATTTTTTGTGGATTTTTAGGATATCGATATACGCTTTTTTGCAAAGTTAATTTGTTTCATCATAAGGCCTCACAAAATAATAATATTGGTTTTCATAATCGAAATTGGTCTCACCCTGGTCGCTCGGGTTTTTATTTTTAGAGCAGAAAATTTTTTAAACAATAAAATTTTACTTGAGTTTAGTGTGGCGCATTTATTGGTCAATTATGAGAAAAAATAAAATTTTTGAATCCTATTTCAATGACCCAGCCGGGATATGAAAACTAATATTATTATTTTGTTCCGCTTAATGGTTGTGAGAATCGATTACATGTATCTTCCCATATCGATATCGATATTTAACCCTTTGGCGTTTTTTCAACTTATTCACTCCTTTCTGAAAATACTGAGGATTAGTATACTTCCAACCATCACTCGTAGCAAACAAATTCACTGTTCCTCTATTTATTCCAACACTTCTTTTTATTTCAAACTTAGAAATTTGTGGTTTTAATTCTACCCAATAACTAAAAGAAACAAAGAACTTGTCACACTTTCAAAAGATAATAAGAGGTTCTTGGACAAATTGATCGTTATTCCCCCAATACTTGCTGTAATGTCGTAATGATTAAAATACTTGCCGTAATGTCGTAATAGCGTTTATCTTCTTTAACATACAACCTTATGACACACCCGACGGTGTATTCTTATATACTGTATTAAGCTTTTTTTTGTCTCAGAATAAAATAATGGCAGAATGAAATGCAAAGCGAAATGCAAACCGACTCAAAACTGTAAGAGAAGTTTATTTGAACATTCTTTTCATCAGAATATAATTGTTTCTCTTTAAAATTCGTCTTTGCCATTCTTTGAAGAATGGTTGACAAAAAAACTTTTTAGCAAATCAGAAAACCACTAATTTAGGAATAAAAATGAAGTAAGTACATGTATATAGTACCTACACTTATTTTAGCCCAACAATTATTTAATTAATCTTAATTGCCTCTGTTAGTATATGACAAGTTTTCCGATATTTTACTATTTAATTAAAATCTTGAGAGCCTCTGTTGTATGCTAGCAAGTATATTGATTGACGTGCTGTACATCCGGGCAATGTTTACAACTTATATGAGGGCTAATTATATTTTTTCGTAATTTTTATCTAATTTGTAGGCTACTAAAAACATTGGATTATGCTTGGGATTCCTTAATAATCTCTCTAGGACTCCACAACCATTAAATAAAATCTATTTAATGGAAATCCGGTGACATTTAAAAATAGAAATAACCGATTAAAGAAAAATTAAAACGATCAATAAAGCTGGTCAGTTATAAATATAATTTAATTTCTTTTGCTTTAAACAATAGTATTGACATTTCTAAATTATAGAAAGTTGGTCCGACACATCAACAAATCTTTTCAGATTTTCCAAGTTTGATTTTATTGCGATAGGACGATCCTCTTTTTTGAAACCGACAATCCAAGTTCAAAATTCAATCAGTTTGTTGGTCGAAACTACGTATACTTATTATCACGACGATACATGTATAAACAAAAAGTGGATTGAGGATAATTTTAACTATGATATTATCAACACGATGGATTTGTTTTCTAAACTATCGCTATAGCGATAGAGTACATGTAAACCTTAATATTATAATAAATGTAAATAAAATTGGTCAGTTTCTACTTTTATTACGAGTATTATCGTTATCGTTATTATTATATAACTAATGATTGCATTTAGATATTTTTACAGACGTTTTAATTAAAGGAATTCGAGTGGATTACTTGTTTTTTTATTGGAATGCTTTTTGCGATTCCACTGCTGCCTTTCTAATTTAAGACAGTAAACAATTTCTAGGATGTTCTAAAGAGCTGTACACTGAAAACGCAAAGTATTTAATTTTCCGCTTCTCGTTATAGTTGATAGAGAAAAAATAGAGTAGATAAAGAAATTTCTGTTTTTTTTGGAATAGAATCCTAACTAAAATTTTTCAATAATAAATTTGCGCCATCCGAGAACAGTACGTATTTGGTATCGTAAAGCGTATTCTTTATAGACGTCGCCTATAAGATATTTATCATGATTCTGCTCACAGAATGGTTGTTCACCTATTACAATCTCATTCTGAAACTATAAATATCTGCAGCTTCAGTATTTGGTTTTTCGTTTAGTGAAAAGCTTCATAAATTCGAAATTCCAGCGTTTTTCTTTTTTTTAAGTGCGTACATATATCGGTATGTAAATAAATACGTACGTATATGCATATTAACGTCGTCGAAAACACCGAATTTTTATGTGATGTGTTTATAGGATTAAACCTGTTATTATTGTTATCGTTATTAGCGTTAGCATGAATGTGAATTTAAGCGGTAACTTCGTACCGTGTACATGCGCCGATACTTTTTGATTACAAAATGCAACGATACTGTATTACCGTTACCGTAACTGGTGGCAACATGTGAAAGTTCAAAATACATGTACATGCCTATCTTAAAGCTTTGAAATGTCTTTATAAACACAATCTCGAATATTGAAAAAAATGTTTTATAACAGGTCAATCTAAAGAATTAATTATTTTCGCAGTGCCGAAGAATGGGCTGGATCAATGAATGAGATTCATCCAGCTTCCAAGCAATGCTGGACTCATTTCTCCCAGCCTTTCTATTCTTTTTTAATACAGGCTTCTCGATGCCAACAAGACTTCTGCACATGCCTATATATAATACTATAGTTGGGTCTTGTGGCTGCCCGCTAATTTTTTATAAATAAAATAAATTGTGAATATATCGACAAAAAAGAAATGAATACAATATATACCTTAATTCTGCAAACTCGTACTTCATCACAACATCTGCTAAATCTTTTAAACCAGTCTCTCGGTTATTTACCATTAAGAGACCTTTGATACCAGCTAGCAAATAGTGTCTTTCCGAAAACTGGTACCAATTAGGCAAGTTTTGCTCGCATAATTTGTTAATTTTATTTATTCTTGCGATTTCTTCATTTGTGTTTTTTAGTATTGGGGGTAGCTGCTTATGCTCTTTTATAATCTCTCGTGTGCGTTGACGGGTCATGCGGTTGTTATCAGAAAAATTCTCTATATATTTTCTTTTGTACTTATTCGTCAATGTTTGCCGTAAGGTCTCTGGAGATATTGGCGCCTGTGACAAAGTGACCGAATCTTCTAGTGATGTTGGCGAAGTCATCGAATACTCTGATAATGTTGGCGCTTGTAACAAAGTGATTGTTGCATCACACCAAACAGATGATGGTTCAAAAGAATAATTGCTTGTTCTCTGGAAATCCTTTTTTAGTAAATTGAGGATTGATAAGATTTCTTGGTTGTTTGGATTCAATGACCAAAATATTCTACTTTTTGTTGTTTTGTTTTTAATTTCTTGTTTACGCAAAATTGCTTTTGAATCCATGGTTGGATTATCCAACCGAAAATACAAAGACAATGCCGCTGAAATTGATTGATGAGGTGTAGAACTCCTGCAAAATACAGAAATGAATTAAAAAATCAATAATTTGTTCGATTAAAAAGAACATACATACTCTGACTGCGCAAAACGATTCTCAATGACGACTTTTGTCAACTCTTTGACATCCATCTGACGATTTTCCAAAAATAAAAAAGCTTTCAAGATGCCCTTAAATAAACCTTTATAATTGGACGCAGGTGGAATGACGGATTTTAAATTCTTATACAATGCGTTGACAATCTTGTGTTTACTTTTGGTCGTGCTTTCCAATAAAGACGGGTAAATTCCTGTAACTTCCGAATCATACGAGATTTCTGAGTTTAGTACCGCTGAAATTTCTTGATTAGGAAAAGGAAAGTTCAACGGACTAGTTGAGCCCGAGATATATCCCAGTGTTTTCGACAAGCAGTCGTATTTTTTGGAGCTAGGCATTGATACCAAACTTTTATTCATATTTTAATATTTTGTGCGAATATTGATTATTAAACTTGAATATCAAACAACAAAAAATGTTTTTAGTTGGAAAGTTTTATGGTGAACTCGTCAAGAGAAACGAAGAAACCCGTTATATGTCTTAGAGACAAAATACACGACGAAGAATCGAATGAATGGTGATAGATATTATGAAAAAGGCAATATTGTGAATTATAAACTTGGTGTTGGGATGAAACTGGCACAGAAAATTTTCAACTATCAATAAAGCATTGGATTTATTATCAGAGAATATTAGTTGTAAAAGTCTAATAAAAAAGAAAATCAAATGTCCAGTGAATTCGACTGATTTAAATATTCCTGTCTTTTTGATCAATACAAATGATGACAATAATGACGTTGTAACGGTAGGCACAGAAGTATAGATAATTATTTTATCAGTATATTATCATGCTGGCGAGAGTATCTAACGTGAACCCAAATTTTTCTCTTCGCTTTTATTAGACCAGACAATTTTTCCAGTAAATGTATCTGTCTCAAAACTATAAGCTAGTGTTATTAATTATAGATACATGTACGTACATGTACATTGTTTATGTATTTATGTACGTAACTTGAAATACATTTTTTCAAATACATGTAATTCATTAAAGCTATGCGTTCTCTATGACAAAAGTAGTGAAACCACGAGCTGACATAGATTAGTAAGCTTTGCATCTTATTATTGTAAATGTTTGAACAAAACTAACGAATATAGAGATGTATAAAGAACCATTTGCTACGTATGTACGTACGTATTTAACGATATATATGGAAAATCTTGATTTACAAAAAATAGCGATAGCATTTAAACAATCAATCATATACTGCCAAAAGTATCCAAACAAGACAAGATCGGTGATCGGAAAAATTCTAGCGCCTCCAATATTTTAATATAACGCTCATGGTTTCTATACTCTGAAAACATTCTTAATGCCATTTTAGGAAAATTAAGTGAATTGACAGTTCACGAATAAATGAGAATCAAATAAATTTTTATTAGGAAAACTTTTTAAATAATAACAATTATTAAATTTGTACTTATTAAAATTATATTAAATTAGTGAAACGAAAAGCTTAATCAAAAATTTTTCAATAAAAATTTCAAGCCATTTGATTGACTTTACTACATCGGAAACACAAATTTCAGAGTGCCCTAAAATTTGACTAATTGTTATTAATTACATATTTTTATACTTATAAACATTATATAAATTAGTAAAGTAAAAAGCTTAAATATCATACATGACATGGTAAAAGTATTGACACATCCTAATGCAATAAATTGCACAAAATTCTGCATAATAAAAACATGGAAAAATTGTATCATTTTGTAGCTCAGATTTTTGTGATTATACATGCAAAATTCTATTTTTTTATGATGTCTAGAAACAATTCAACTAAGAATTTTTTCAGATATTCTGACAAAAAAATTAAATGAATAAAAATTTACTTAATAATCTGTATCTAGGTAAGATTTTGACATGTGAAAATACATGTTTGAATAAATATTTAGGTTATATTATAAATAACCTCATTTTAAACATCATTTTTGAACAAACACTTTGAAAAATTTTCAACATTAAAATATCAGAATTAAGTAAAAGTTAATGTAATAAAATAATTAGCCTATAAAATAATATATCAAATTCAAAATTCTCAATATTTATATGGTGCCAGAAATCTTAACTCAACAATTATGTGATTTTACTAAAAAAATAAATATTATAATCAAAAATTATATTAATTTTTAATATATTTGTATTAGAAAAATTATGTAATATTAAATATTAATCATATAATATATATCAAATTTTGATAAAATTATAATTTGAATTGATATTATAATAATATTAACCAATCAAATTAGATTATATAATAAAAAATTATATGATTTATTTCAAGTTTAGATTAATTATATAAAAAAATATCTAACTTTAAATACTTATAACTTTTTATTAAAAGTTAATCAGTAATTTAATAGAGTTTATCTTAAAAAATAATATTAATTTAGTTTTTCTAAATTTTATTTTTGTAGTATATTAAAAAACTTTAAAAATAATTTATTATATTATTAAATTAAGATTTTTATATTATAAATTATAATAATATCTTATATTATTAAAAAAAGTTAATAAATATAATACTTGTCAAAAATAATATATCTTTCTTAATTTTTTATAAATTATATATAATATATCAAAATTTTCTGAGCACAAAAAATACTAATTACGTATTGATATTTTTTATAAATTGATAAAGCTTTTATATTAAATATTATATATTTATATTCTAAATTTGTATATATATAACTAATTATTTTTTAATATATATTTCAATATTTAATAATCTAATATTTTATATTTAATAATCAAAAAATATAATATAATTATATTATATTTACTTAACTTGAATTATATAATTTTGAGTATATATCATAATTTATATTTTAAATCATATATCAAAATGACATAATTTATATTTTATAACATATTAAGATAATATATTTTCATTATTAGATCACATATAATATATTATATATCTAATTAATAAATATAGCCAATTTTTATTATTAAATTATAAATACTAATATTATCACAAAAAATTATGATATCTAAAAAAATGAATAATATTTTAGTAATGAAGCAAATTGCAAAAACTTTTGTTTTAATAGTTGAAATAGTATTTTTAAGAAAGTGATTAAAGGGATCATTATTTGTAAATATGATTCAAGCTGATCCTGCAGAAACTAGTAGAATTTTAGCATGTTGAACTGAGTTATCTGAATAAAATTGTGTGAATTAATAGATGATTAGTTTGTTGTCATTTGATAATTTATTTATTTAAAGAATTGAAGTATGATAATATATTAAACAGTAGTGTTTGATATATTTGATTAAAAGTAGTTCAAAGAATGTTTGGTATGAATAGATATATATTAGTAATATGATTTTTGATAAGCTTAAACCAGAATAATTTTTTCATAAGCTTTGGATCAATATTTTTTTATATTGTTATCAGAAAATAATTTGTTTATTATTATATTTGGTGATTTGTAAAAGATATAAGACTGAATGCATTTTGATTTATTGTAGAGTGAGTTTTAGCATGCTTTAGCTAACTGAGTCGTAAGTTCTTCTCATATTCTGGAAAGCACACCAGATTTCTTTTTAAATTGTCTTGCATCTTCAAATAGATTATTTAGTATGTGTTATAGAACAAAAGTGAAAGTATCTTTTAGAATTGAAAAATTATTATTTTTGAGAATAGAATTTGATTTGAAATTGTTATAATTCAGTTTGTTAATATTTTAGAAAAATCTTTTCTGATTATTTCAATTAAGGTAATAGGTTGCATAATATTTAGATTTTCTTCCTATTCTTTGAGTTTAGGAATTAGAATAATAACTGTATTTTTTCACTTATCTGATATATTGATTTCTAGCAGAAAAAAATTATATAATTTTAATAATTGTTTTTTTTAGAAGAAAACTTATATTTTTGATTAATATATTTTGAATACCAAAGTGATCTAGTGCTTTGTGTAATAATATTTTGTTTATAATTATATTAAATTCTTTATTTGATATAGAATTTATTATGAAACTGAAGACATCATTTGAAATATATAATTTAGATTTGTATTAATTTTTCTATTTATTGGATAATCAAAATTTTGTTATCCATTTTCTAATTCAATTTTGAAAGTACTATTTGATAACTTTAAGTATTTCTGATAAATTATCTATAAACTTATTATTTTGAGAAACTTTATCAATTATAATAGAATTATGTAACTTTTCTAGAATATTAGCTATTATATGACTGTAATTTGTTATAAAAAATATCTGGTTTTTTTGAATTGCTATTTTAATATTATTTGCTTAATGTAATTTGAGTTTTATTTTTTTATTCTGTAAGTCTATTCTAATATTTTGATATTTAGATTATTTATTTTGATTGGTTGAGATTTTATATTAAATACTAGTGAGTTAATGTTAGAAAGAATTGATTTTATTATTTCAGGATTGGTTATTTGGAAAACTTTATATTGGTGAATGAGATTTCCAATTAATTAGCAGACTTTTTGGATATTAGATAAAGTTATGAAAAAATTTTTTTTATGAGAGAGAGTTTTGGTTTTTAGATATGAGTTGGCTGAATATAGAATGATATTTTTAATTAATTTTTATTATTTATTTAAGAATATATTATAGTTGAGATTATATTGAATTATATATTTTTCAGTATCTTTTGTGTATTCTTCCCATATATTAATTTCTATATTTTTGATAATAAATACTTTGCATTTGGTTTTTTATTTTTTAATAATATATTTTGATGTAATATTAAAGATATTATAAAAAGATAAATCTGCTATTACTATATTGTGATCTGAGTTAATCTATTTGTTATCAATGATAGCTAAGTGAATTAAATATTATACTATTATTATATTATACCAAATCATGTCAAGTTTTCGTAAAGTATCATTGTGAAATTATATATCTGTAAGAGTTTGGATAACATAAATAAAAAATTTCTTGAAAGTTTTTGAATGATAGTAAATTTATAAGACTGTTATTAGAAGATTGCTAAAAGAGTTTATTAAAATCTCTTAGTATAATTAGGTGTTTGATTGTAAAAGATATTTTGTTGATATAGTTGAAGATTCAATTTTTGGTTGTGAGTTCATTGCAAAGTGTATAGCAGGAAGTAAAGATAGCACAGTAACTGTTGTAACATAGTGACAAATAAAACATCACCTAGTTGCAACTAGTTGTGGCTTATAAAATTTTGGAGTTGCAACGTGTTGCAACAGGTAACAAATAAGCATCATATACTTGCTGCGTCATCTCTAGCAGAAAGATATACTACTATAATATCTAGTTTATAATTATGTGTAAAGACTAATTTTATGTGAATGAATCTACCTTGAAGTATATAAGATTTTTAAATGTG